TGCGGGCATATCCCCAGTGGGGGATGTGCAGGAGGCAGCTGATCGATGTTACTCTCTCATCGATAATGTTTGTAAGTATCCCTCTCCCTTCTTCTCTGTAAAAAATCAATTAAAAAATATATTTTATAAAAGAAATCATTTCCATGGGAAATCACCATTGTAGTTTCTACATTAAAAAAAAAAAAAGCGGATTAGTGGTGGCAACAGTTGGGTCTCAGTCAGCTGAGTGGCAGGGCTACACATGCAGGGAAAGACTGAAGGAACCCACTGTGGGGGAAGGCCATGGGATCTCTGAGCCAACAGGCAAGCTGTGCAAGCTCCTGGGGCCCAGCTTCCTCCTCATACGGACTTGTGACAACTGAGTCACCATAACACAGCGTGCAGCCCAGGGGAGCTCAAGTAAGGGCACATCACGACCTTGTTTGCATGAAGCGTCCACGTTTTCCTAAAACGTTTCTCTATTCCTTTTCCTGCCAGAAACAGTTATTCAGATAAAACGATTATGTAGGGCACGCCACTAACCGAAAACAGAAATACACTCCAAACTCTCCCAAAACGAGCCTCTTCTCTCAGAACTCTAAGGAGGGGAGGTTCTTCAGATTCATGAGGCGGAAAATGCAGTGACTCAACCCAGATGGAAAAGTATTCTAAGTCCATTAACAGATATTTTGCAAAGTCAAGAAATACAACCAGCAAACAGAGGTACTGGGGAAACATTCAATTTCTTTAGATACTGTAATAATCAAAAAATTAAATGTAAACGATGGAACTGTTTTCAACTATCAAATGAACCATAAACATATATTTTTTAAGATTTTATCGGATGCTGCCAAGACGGAAAGAAAGCCAGCGTTCTCAGCCTGTGCCAGGGAAGAGAACGCCGGTGCCAGCCCTTGGCAGAACACGTGGGCGGTCCGGGATCAGGAGACAGAAAAAGCCTCTGTCCCTCAACCCAGTCATTTCATTTCTGAGAACCTAGACTGAGAGGATTTCTCAAAACAGGAGAGAGTCGCGTCCACTCGCAGGACACGAACACAGTTTCTAACAGTGAAAAACTAAAACAAAACAAAACAAATGCTGAACAATGAGTAAGTAAACGACATTACACGCAAGGGAATGGACTCTTTAAGCATTACAAACGATAAATTAAAAAAAAATCATCGTATCTTAATGTGTACCCGATGAGTACAACGGAATGACAACTTCTAAGATGCTGGAGTTCTGTAAGAGGACCCACTCTGTGTGACCCTGCTGTTTTTATCCTCCCCGTGCCCACAATTTCACAACAGATGATTTTATTACCTTTACTAGTGGCCTGGTGTACAAAATTCATGCACAGGGGGTGGGGAGGTGGGGGGGTGGGGAAGGTTGTCCCTCACCCCGGCCTGCACCATCTCCAATCTGAGATCTCTGGTGAGATTGTAGACATCCTTCTTGCAATCTGGGACCGCTGGCTCCTAACCACTCAACTGCCTGCCTGATCACCCCTAACCACTCTGCCTGCTGGCCTGTTTGCCACAACTGCCCCTCCCCCTGCCCCCGCTGGTCTGCTCGCCCCCAACTGCCCCCCGTCCTGGCCTGATCACCACTAACCGCCTCTGCCTCGGCCCCACCACCATGGCTTAGTCTGAAAGGAAGTCAGGAAGGTTTCCTAGTCTAATTAGCATATTACCCTTTTATTAGTATAGATCAGTGGTCGGCAAACACATTAGTCAACAGAGCCAAATATCAACAGTAAGATTGAAATTTCTTTTGAGAGCCAAATTTTTTAAACTTCAACTTCTTCTAACGCCACTTCTTCAAAATAGACTCGCCCAGGCCATGGTATGTTGTGGAAGAGCCACACTTAAGGGGCCAAAGAGCCGCCTGTGGCTCACGACCCTCTGTTTGCCGACCACTGGTACAGATGATAAGGTTTCTCCCTGTCTCATGACAATCTTTCCTCTGCTGCGCTCACAGCCTCATATCTCACCGTGACATCCTGCTCTGGGCCCTTCTCTCGCCCTCTGCAAAGGGCACGGATTCTTGTTTGAGTGTATTACCTTCTAAAGGCCAAAGCCGTTTCATTGGGCACTTGAGGCAATCACCTCTCCCTGGAGAGACTCTGGGCTGCCTCCACACTCCTCCCCATTGAGTACCAAGTTGCTCCAAAGAATCAGAGAAAGGGCTTTGCAACTCCTGAGCAAGCCCTGGGAGGAAGTGGCACAAATTGTAGATGGAGCCCTCAGCTCCGCCCCTCCTGGCTGTGTCCTCTGCGTATGTAAAACTTCCTTCACTGGCCCTAAACCGACTGATCAGCAGAAGCAAAAAAGCAAAAGAGACTTAAACCCCCAACAATAGCAGGTGGCTAGCTTACAGTGCATCCACTCGATGGAATAATAGGCAAGCTCACAAAACAAGGATTATGAATGCCAACTATGCTAATGTGGCCGAGGGCCTCCAACGTGAAGAAGAATGGTTACTCAACCACGCGTTCCCATGACGACGGCCGGATGAAAGTCTGTGCAGACTGACCAGTAACGGCGGCTGTCTACCAGGCACTATGCCGTGTGGTGAACATGCATTCAAACTTCCCAACAATGCCATCAGAAGCCTTATTCTCCTTTTGGAGAGGAGGGGACCGAAGCACCAGGAATCCTCATTTGATCCTCCCGATGGCTCCGATTTAGAACATTCTGGTAACTTTCCTAAGTCCACATAGCTGGGAGGAGAGGGGTGGGAGAAGGGGCTGGGAGTTGGACTCTGTCTTTCTTGACTGACTCCCGGCCTGTAAGGCCATGTCAAAAATTTAAAATGCAAGCATTTGTTTTTTTTTAAAAAAAGACTTCTTTTTCTTCCCTCTATTGTCTAAACGTCCTAGTGTTCTTCTGTTTTTATTTAAAGACCAAAAAAGAAAAAAGAAAAAAAGAAACAGAGAAGAGGATTTTTTTGTTTTGTTTTGTTTTAAACGCATGTGTTTGTGTGTACGGTTTTTAAAATTCTGTTTTGATCAAAAGACTAAATAAATGTCAATCAAGACTCCGCTTGGGGGTTAAGGGTAGGAAATGAGGAAAAAGGGATGGAGAACCGCCAAGACCAGCCTGTTCCAAACCAAACCGAACAGCGCCAGGCAGCTGCCCGCACTATCTTTTTTTTTTTTTTTTTTTTTTTATCATCTCTTTCCACCACCCCTTCCCGCCTGCGCACAGATTCTGCAATCACCGCCCGGGGCTGACGGAGGACACAGCATGTCACAGTGGCACTGGCAGCACAGAGCGCTACTGACAGCGCTGCAAACAAAACAGATCTCAACCCCCAGCCCTGCAATTTCTCCACAGACTCCTCCCGGGCCGAGCTTCCCCTCAGCCAGGGGCAGACTGCATGTCCTGGAGGTCCAAATACAAGCCACGCCCTAACGTGGCCAGTCCACACCTCCGTGTGCTGGACAGGTCATGGCGATTACACACGCCAGGTCATGTGAACTCAAATGACAGACGTGACATTTCTAGCCATGTCGAAGCCACGCTAGAAACTAAAGAAGGCTGAGAGAGACTGTACTTGTTTAAGAAACTGTAAAAATAAAAATGCAGTATGTATGGTGGTCTATCCAGGAAAAACCATGCACAACAAACAAAATGAAACCCTCCCCCACAAAAAAAAAAATACTGCCGACCCAGCCCCCAAAATATCTCTGCAGAGCACTGAGGAGCCAGAACACTGGACCCTCGCATGGGGGAAGGGCATCTCTGAGTGGCAGCTTGCCCTGGGAAACATATCACATGGGGGGGGGGGGTTGCTGACCGGCTGCAGAGGTGGACTCCACACCCAGTGCTCCTTCCTGTGGGTCAACGGCCTCGGCCTCAAACCCCGGTGCCAGCGATGTCCTAAGCGCCCTGATCAGCCTCTCCTCGGCCAATGCCTCAGCTGGCTCCAGAGAGATGGCAGCCTCGGAGCCACACACAGTCCTCCTGACAAAGGCCTGCTGCCCGAAGCCCAGGAAAGGGCCAGGATCCACTGTCCAGCTGTGTGGACGCCAGGCAGCCGCCCACTAGGCCACCTGGAGCCCGGCACCCCAGGGTGCCTCCCACCTGACAGGGCGCCCTGAGCCGGCTCAAGCGGCAGCGCCACACTGTGCGGAGGAAGAGGAATCCACGCTCCGGGGCAGGGAGGGGGACCACTGGACACCTGGCGTCCTCCACGCACATCCCAGGTGTCCCCTTCCTCACAGATTGGCCCCCCCCAGCCTGAATCTCAGACCTATTTCAGGGGCGCTACACGGGGAGGGTCAGGTACCCGAGGTCCCGGTGGAGCCCAGTTGAAGGATGATGCCCACACCACCTTCTCAGCTGAGGAAAGGGCACGCGGAAGTCAATGACTATCTAAACCCGTGGTCGACAAACCGCGGCTCAAGAGCCACATGCGGCTCTTTGGCCCCTTGAGTGTGGCTCTTCCACGAAATATCACGGCCTGGGCGAGTCTATGTTGAAGAAGAGGCGTTAGAAGAAGTTTAAGTTTAAAAAATGTGGCTCTCAAAAGAAATTTCAATCGTCGTGCTGTTGCTATTTGGCTCTGTTGACCAATGAGTTTGCCGACCACTGGGCTAGTCAGTACAACTCTCCGTGCATTGCTTCTTACTTAACTGCCAAGGACATTCCACAAATGTACAAGACGTGAGAGAGGGTTATCAGCCTGGGCCTGGGGGTCAGGCAGCCTGGGTTCAAATCCAGGTCCGCTGCTTGCTGGCGGGCGGATCCTGAGGCTACATAACTGGTAGGTCTCAGATTCCTCGTGTGTGAAGTCAAGGCCACGACAGTCTCCCAGGATGGGGGTCACGGAGCTGTCCCAGCACTGTGTCTCCTTCGCCACCAAGGCCCCTGTTTCTGCCCTGAGACGGGGCTACAGGTGGAGAGGACGAGACCGCTGGCCAGAGGCCCACGCCCACCCTGGGGAACAGCAAAGAGAGCATGTGGGGACCTAACCAGATTGGGACCTCCTCCCTCCTCCCAGGGCCGGGCACTCACAGCACTCCTTCTCGTCGCTCTTGTCGAAGCAGTCGGGCAGCCCGTCGCAGTGCCAGGCGCCCGGGATGCAGCGCCCGTTGGTGCACATGAAGTTGCCCGGGATGTTGCACTCGTTGGTGAAGTTGTTCCCGGGGAGCAGCTGGCTCTCTGTGGGAGAGAGGGGACAGGGCCATCAGACAGCATGGCAAAGGCAGCAAGGATCTGAGACACACATACACACACACACACACACACACCGAAGGGGGCTCCTGTTTCGTGTGGGCTGTATAGGTAAGGCCTCTCTGGGTCTCAGTTTCCTCATCTGTGAAATGGACCCATAAAATCCCCTGCCCCACCCCTGGGGATTCTGAGAGGACTAAATGGGGAAACATTGAGAAGTGGGGGGCAGGTATCGGACGCATGTTAGGCGCTTACTGACTTGTCTTCTCTTTCCATCAAAGAGGTTGGCTGCAAAACACACACACACTCTTTTCTTTTTTTAATATATTTTATTGATTTTTTATAGAGAGGAAGAGGGAGTATACCTCCTATAGAGGAGTTAGAAACATCGATGAGAGAGAAACATCGATCAGCTTCCTCTTGCACACCTCCACTGGGGATGTGCCTGCAACCAGGGTACATGCCCTCGACCAGAATCGAATCTGGGACCTTTCAGTCCACAGACCGACGCTCTACCACTGAGCCAAACCGGTTTTGGCCAAATACACACATTCTTTCCTGGCCTCCAGCAGTGACCAAAGCTGAAGGTTCCCAGACAGGAGTGAGCACTGGACCCCTCAAAGCCTCCAGCAGTGGGAACTGCAGGTCCCTGCCAGGTCTCAGACTCCGGGACTCCACAGTCGCAGAATCCTTGAACTTGGGCCAAGTCAACAGGGCTATCGGCAGATCATTCCACTTTGAAAAATGTGAGCCCTGGACCACAGAATCGACCTGCCTGGGGTCAACGGGGAGAAGAAGCCAAACTGAAAAGCACACGAAGGCCTCTGGCCCCGAGGGAGCGCCAAGGCCACCGAGCTGCTGGCCGCACGTTCCTGGAGATTTAGAGCCAGGCCCTGAGGTGCGGGGCTGCACTCCTCCACCAGTGGACTCGGGAGGGGCGATTTCTTCAAAGAAACTAGAATGGAATCCATGTGATGGGCCTGAGCCAGTGTGATCATTGGCTGGGAGAAAAGGAGCCTTCTGGAAGCAGCTCAGTCTTATGGGAAATGGGAGAAAAAGACCCATCCTCCCAGGGCTCCCTCCCGAGTCGGCAATGAGCATTTATGGAACATGTATGACCAGACACTTGTGCTAGGTCCCAACAATGCAGAGAGATGAAGCCTAGGGCTGGAAGGGCACGTAGGGATACTAAGGATGTTAGTCCTAAGCCAAGGACTATAAGAGGTGCCCAGACCTGCTTGAGGGTCACGGGGTGCCCAGGAGCCTTTCACACGCTTTGCCAAAGAGAAGCATCGCATTCCAGACCCGTGACATCACATCTTCCATGCCACTGGTCCTGGCAAGCGCTATCATTTTTACCTGGCGTGCCTTTCGACCCGAGGGGTCCCCGAGCAACCCTCCACGCACCCGCCGGCGCACAACCTGTGCTGCTCTCCCTCTGGGGTGTCCCCAGACCTCCCCAAGGGGAAACGAGCTCTTATTCTTCCGTGTGACTGCGGTTCCACGGGGCTGATACTAAACACGTCTAGCAACTCGAACAAGTGGGAAACCACCCACTGGAATGACATAGCCACAGGCAAGCAGAGCTCCATCAGCCCCGGGACCATGGATACGACCACACACCAGCTGCCTTGTGCGGGTGAATTACTAATGGACAGGCATGTTTCTCCACTAAAAATGAGCTTTCAGAGGTCACTAGAGAATTCTAGAAGAGCAGCTGCAGCGAGGGGCCCTCCCTCTGCCCCAACTATCCACACCCAAACCCTAACAATCCTCCATGTCCCTTCCCCCCTCCCCCACACTCCCCCACCCCCCGACGGCCAAGCACCCAGTCCCGCACGCTGGTCTCCATGGCCACAGCCAGAACTCCTGCCCCAGACGCCCCATCTCTCACCAGAGTTACTGCCACAATCTCCTGACACTCCACCTCCCTGACACTCCTCCGGCCCCACTCTGTGGCCAGAGGGACCTTTGTAAGGAGCAAGTCAATCAGGACCCTTCCATTCTTTAAAAAGCCACTGGATAATGTCAAAATTCGAGGCTTTCAGAAAAGTTGGGGGAGAGAGGCGGCATTGCAGTGGGAGCTGACAGATACAGGGATGGAACTGAAGGGCCCCTCAGGCTGAGAGCTCTGAAGGGAATGGAGGGGGAAAAAAATAAATAAATAAATAAAAAAAATAAAAGGGGGGAAGCAGTGATTGTGGGAATTGCAAACATATTGTGCCATTATGGCCCCTCTTCCATCAACAAGTCATCATGGCGCTCTGTCTTCTGAGCCCACACTCATTACAGATCCATCCCGAGACTGGACTCCTCGAAAACCACCCTCCACCCCAAGAACAACATGAAACCAGTTTCCTGTCTCCAGGCAAGGGCTCCAGGTAGCAGAGGGGGGTCTACAGGAAAGGAGCTCAAAGGCCAGCCAGGTGCTGGGTCCTGGCCAGACATGGAAGGCACAGCCCAGGAAAGTCCCCACGTTTCGGCTGTTCCCCAACCACCGCTCAAGCCCCTCCAGCGGTCAGATAATTCTTGAGGGCTCTGACCATCACCGCCATGCTGTTTTGTTAGCAATTCCTCCACTTGCTCTTGCAGCGCTAGCTCCTCCGAGGCGAGCTGCCCGAGAAGCCGCTGCGACGGTGAAATCTTGTTCTGATAAACAGGTTTCCGGAGGTAGAGAATTGGCCAGATTAGATTCCAACGTGCTTGCTCTGAAAGTCAACAGGCTGGCAGCACACGGGCTTGACAAATGGAAGGGTGTGATGCAAGGACGTAAACATCACATCTGTCAAACACAGGTGGCCCAGCCAGCCACGGGCTCAGAGCTCCCGCACAGGTGGCCCTGCCAGCCATGGGGCTCAGAGCTCTGCAGGCTGGCCAGGGATCCCCAGAGCCTGGGGACCGACAACACAGAGGAACGTGTTTTGAGGGCTTCTGAGTAACTCTATTCTGCATGCAGGGGGCACAGCTCCCCGCACTTTAGGGAAATGACAATATTATCAAAATCAAAAGCATCGGGAGAAACCAAGACAAAGAGAGGTTCAAGCCCATGGATTCTGTCCTCAAAAATCTCCTCCAAACCCACCGAGTGTGCCTCGCCCAGATGGTACCAGCCAATTCAAGCTGCCAGTCATTCCCAACACAGGGCCATTTTGTCACCCTCCCCCTCAACCCCCCTGAGGACACAGGGCAGAATCTGGAGACTTTGGGGTTCTGGTGTCTAGTGGGGAATGTTGATGCCCATCTGCAATGCACAGGGCAGCCCCTGGCACCAAAGAACAGCCAGCCCACAATGCCAATGAGGCCGGGGATGAGAAATCCCGGCGCACACTCACCCCTCAGGGCCTCCAGGCCCTTCTTCTCACAGCAGAGGGAGATTCTAACAGGCTGCTGATGGCTTCTCGGTGCCCTTACAGTACATCTGGAACTCCTGCCATGGTTTTCCAGGCCCGGCAGGATCCAGCCCGGCCTCCCTCTGAACCTCACTTCCAACCACTTCCTGGAACACAAATGTCCTTCCTGTAGAGAGGTCTCCGCCCAGGCTGCTCTTGGACCCCGGTTCTTCCATCCCCTTTTCCCTGGGGTTCGGGGCTGGACTGCATCCTCCCCAAATCCATATGTTGAATCCCTAAGCCCCAGTCCCTCAGAATGCGCCCCCATTCAGAGACAGGGCCTTTACAGAGGTGGTTAAGGTAAAATGAGGCCGTGAGGGTGGGCCCTCATCCACTCTGACCGGCACCTTCCTACAAAGAGGAGATCAGGACACAGACGGCCCTGGGGAATGGCCACGTGAGGACGCAGGGCGAAGACGGCCATCTGGACACAGGCCTCCGAGGAACCCAACTCTGCCCACTTTGATCTCAGGCTTCTGCCTTCCGGGATGGGGAGAAGGTGCATTCCTTGTAGACCAGGGGTGGGGAACCTTTTTCCCGCCAAGGGCCACCTGGGTATTTATGACGTCATTCGCAAGCCGTACAAAATTGTCAGCTTAAACATGAGCCAGCTATATTTGGTCAAGCATTGAGTGAACTCACCCCTCATGCCTTGGCAAGGCCAGGCCAAATGATTTTGTGGGCCTTACGGGACCCACGAGCCGGAGGTTCCCCACCCCTGAATTGTCAACCATCCACGCCGGCGGAGTACTCTGTTATGGCAGCCCTAGCAAACGAATACATTTGACGAGTGTCACTCACTCAGTCTTTCGACAACAGCTTTATGTCACTCATTCGGAGACTCTGTGTGGACCCAATGGAGAGCTGGTCCCCATTTTTCAGTCGGGTATGGTCCCCCGTTTTCCTTTATGGCAATCGGCGCTGACTGATGTGTCTGTACCATCTCCGCACGGGGAAGGCACACCCAGGAAGGCACGGGCCACCGCCTCGTCCAGCTCCCCATCCTTCACATCTAATGCTCGGTGGATCCCCCAAGAACATCTGTGGTCGCTCCAGGAAGAAAACCAAGCGTGCAGTTACTGACTCATCCCCACCCCCAGACTCCTCCTTCGAATGCGCTAGCCTCATCCCTCATCCCTCCCGAAGGGATGGACCATTCTACCCATCCATCCCTTGTCATGACGCTGGAGGTGAGTGGAATCTGAGCACATCCAGTTAGAAATAAGGCACGTGAGGTGTCTGGATCCATGCTAGTAAATCCCTTCCCTGTCTGCTTTAAAAGAGGTGAGAAATCTCTTTACCCCGACAGCAGGACTTTCTAGTGGCTGATATATTTATCCCGTCTCAGCGTCTGGGGACACATTTAGAATCCAAAAAAGACAAGCATTCGCACGAAGTAGGCTGGCAGGCCTTTCTCCTCCCCTCCTCTCCCCCCCCCTTTTTTTTTTCATTAAGCTGGAAAATGAAAACGAGTTGCCCATGTCCACTGCAGCACATCACTTACTTAACATAACTATACCTGCTTTCCAAGAATAAAAAAATAAAAAAAGTCCCCAGTCCTCCCCCACTGGGCAGAGGCAAACAGCCCACTGCAGCAGC